AAAAAAAAAAAAAGATGTAAAGCATAATAATTAGTGCGTAGCACGAAACTCGGAGTTACAGCAAAATCTAGCCTCTTTGATATCATATATATAACTAGCTCTATACTTTATGTGTATTGAGCACTCTTTAATGGGATCAGCTACTTCGTCATACGATTAATTGTTCAAATATAAATTTAGGAAAGGGTGTTGTTCCAGAAAATAAAGAACTACTATTCTTCTATGGGAAAGTGGGATGCATGGCATTGATTTTCTACATACAGATTTTACAACATTTTATTAGAAAAAAATATTTTGCACCTTAACAATAATTTGATTGGTCAAATGATTTGAGGGGAAAATAACTTTGCATGGTAAAAATATTTGATTGGTCCATATTACTTTAAGGGAAAAATGTACACTGCACGGTAACAATCATTTGATTGGTTGAATAATTTGAGGGGGAAAAAACTTTGCACAGCAAAAATAATTTGATTGGTTGAGATGGAATAGTGGGGGCGAGATGGCAATGGGGCGAGATGACCGGTAACGCTTTGTACGGCAACAATGATTTGATTGGTTTATCATGATTCGAGGAAAAGTAACTTTGTACGGCAACAATGATTTGATTGGTTTATCATGATTCGAGGAAAAGTAACTTTGTACGGCAACAATGATTTAATTGGTTTATCATGATTTGAGGAAAAATAAAATAACTTCACATAGCAACCAAATTTGATTGGTTGAATAAATTGAGGAAAAAGTGAAGGTCATTACTATCACTATTGTCACTAACAAGCCATCTTGGAGGTAAGTACTTTTTTATGATTTTCTTGGTGTTGGTCCCCTAGATAATAAATAATATTATCTAGGGGACCAACATCAAGAAAAAAAACAGTTTTTTTGACTGCAGAGAGCTGAAACTTCGCATAGATGTGTAATAAATTAATTCATTTTATGAAGATTCCCTACTTTTATTGAATTTTTCGTTGGCCTTCGCCAAGTTTTCTTACATCTTCAAAGTTTCCCGCCAGGCACAGGTATACCGCGCGTTATGTATTCTATTTGACTCACGCATGCTCAGACAAATGTCCCTGCTGTTGGATGGGCAAACACCAGTGACATTTGTTTGCGYATGCGTGAGTCAAATAGAATACAATGCGCGCGGTATACCTGTGTCCGGCGGGAAACTTTGRAAATGTAAGTAAACATGGCGACGGCTATATTGAGAGCTGGTGTCCTCTCTTTTGTATTCATTTGCGTGTGTTTACTCTTCCCATGAATAATCAAAGAAGATGTTTTGTATGTAGATGAAACTGTGTAAAAATAGCCCAATTTAGGGTAAGTTTAAGAACTTGTTTCGGCATAAATACGAGCAGTGATGATATTATTCTACTCGAGTCGAAGGTGGAAATTTGTACTAAAATTCACACGTTTTTGTACGTTGATTTGAGATATCCACGCAATAATTACATTTCTTTTCTTTTTAGAACACAGGTATACCGCGCGCTATGTATTCTATTTGACTCGCGCATGCGCAGAGAAATGTCCCTGCTGTTGGCTACGCGGCTACTGATTCCCCGTGTTTTAAGAACGGGGCTGATATATTATCATCTTACTTTATTCATTCCTGTACAGCCTTTTGCACAAATTATGAGACATTTTTATATATATAAATATACCTAACCAAATATCAAAAACACCCCAGAAATTATGGTATATCTCTATTTATATTTTGTCATGATTGCCTAGCATCAGGTTGTTACAGACAAAATATCAGCGACGGTATCCCATAATTTCTTTTTTCCTTGGACACCGATAAATAAAGTTGACTCCGAAACAAGTATTAGGTTACCTTTGCTAGGCCTGGTCACTCAGCTACAACGTGTTCTCCGCGTTTGTCAATCCATTTGGATTCAAGTGATTTTATGTTTGTGGAGACTATTAGAGGACAAAAAGAATTCAAAATCTAAACCATTTGGTGCTACATCGCTTATCCCAGGTTAGTTTATAAAACATACTCAAACACGCTGSGTTTTCAATGAAAAAGATATTGTAACTTATTGATTGTAGGATGTAAACCCGTCCCGACCTTCACTCCACATTGAAAAGTTTGTAAGCTTACTAATTATCAGGTCCGGGACATTTTTTATTGCTTTGGTTGTAATTTGGTTCAAAGAACATCAAACAACACATGTATTTACGAACTAGTTTTTTCCTTAAAACGTTTGAGTAGTTGAGTTAACAAAACCCRTCTTTCTGCCGGTGAATTTCAAAACTAAAATATGGCAGTAACAAACGTTGATCGACAAAAAAAGCAAACGAGGGGCCGTTAGTTCGAATCATTTGAGATTATCTTCACAATAAACCACTAATAGAACGTTATTAAGAAGATTGCTGCTTGTTGTTCCCGCTCACAAAGAACGGCAGCGAGAGGGGCCAACGGGCTCCTGGGAAAATATGTCTGTTCTTATGTCCCAGCCAGCTGTAAATCACAACCGGTTCCCAGCAAAAGATTCAGGGAAAAAAGACTATCCAGGGAAGGAATACTTCTTAAGAATTTTTTCCAGGAAAAAAAAATTCCTATCTAAATTTTATTTTTTCGGAACAGTACATAAAAAAATTCCTGGCCAAAACAGAATTAAGAATTATTGCCAGGAAAAACAATCCTACCTAAAAATTTTTTTTTGGGAACAGTACATAAAAAAAATTCCTGGTCAAAAAAGAATTTATAAGAATTTATGCCAGAAAAAAAGAAAAAAATTTGCCAGGAGAAGAAAAACATTTTTTCAATGACTCGGAAACAAAACTCTTCAGCAGGACGTCCCAACAGATAGCTTTCAAAAAATCCTCTGGATGACCAGCATACATAAAAAAATATGACAACAATATGGCCAACCCTGAAAAAGACTCCTAGGAATATGAAAAATATACAGATTATCCAACCAAATATACGGTACACATATATATTTTTGCAACTGGATTTGAACATGTTCCCAGAGCCTGATATAGCATTAAAACATTCCTTATTTCCTGCAGCTTCAAAACGTTTTTGTATGCAAAACAAAGCCCATATGTGTAAATTCAGGTATGAGCTTTCAAAAATCACCAGGAGCTTTAAGAATCTCCATGCTCCATTTAAAAATCATTACATGCAATGGATACAAAATATTGATATTTATTAAAATATACATTACTTCTGGGTATACATTATACAGGTAGAGTTGCACAAAATGCAATATAATGAAATTCTATAAAGTTTACAGTCATTGACAATCAACCTATGTACAATATTTTTTCAATTAGTTGATAAATACTTACAAATAACAATACTAGAGGATATTGCAAAAAAAATATTATCATTATCTATTTACAATAACTTCAATTTAGTTAATAAGTATTAAACAATTTCATTAAAAAATCAAAAGATATTACAAGTGTCCAAAAATATTTTTCTAAAAACCAGGAGAATTTTCAAAAACTGATATACAGCCGTTTGCAATAATTCTGACCCCCCCTACACTAATATTCATATATATCAAAATAGCCTTAGAAATTATGGGATACCATTGCTGATATTTTTTTTAGAAAGTACTCATTCTGGACAACTTAAAAAATATATAAATCATGATATCCCATAATATTTAAGGTCAGTTTGATATATATGAAATATGGCAGAGGGGGTCAGAATTATTGCAAACAGCTGTATACAGCCTTTTGCACAAATTATGAGACATTTTTATATATATAAATATACCTAACCAAATATCAAAAACACCCCAGAAATTATGGTATATCTCTATTATATTTTGTCATGATTGCCTAGCATCAGGTTGTTACAGACAAAATATCAGCGACGGTATCCCATAATTTCTTGGGTGTTTTTGATATTTGGTTAGGTATATTTATATATATAAAAATGTCTCATAATTTGTGCAAAAGGCTGTATAAGACATATATACATATATATATACATACAGTTACATTACAGCCTTTTGCAAAAATTATGAGAATTGTCGAAATATCTAAATATCATAATATCGAGTGCATGATGGGTAATCCTGCGCGATGCCCTTAGTCCCTTGTCTTTGTAGTTTAGTTTTGTTTTGGCGACAGACTTATCCGTAGTTCTGAACATTTTCTCGATGTCAACAATGAATTATACTAGCAAACCCGCGTGTTCCGGACAATATATGGATATGGATATCATGATATTTAGATATTTAGACAATTCTCATAATTTTTGCAAAAGGCTGTATACAGTAATATATTTCACATTTTATATACCACTCCTTTTAAAGTTTTATTAGATCTGAGGCATACTATAGAGTACGAATGAATTTGTAAAAGAATTGCTTTTCCTCTTTGGTATAATTTCCTTTATATTTCTTGTCTCTATTACATTTTCTTAATCATTTTTCGGAAAAGAACTATACCCTTAATATCGTTGTAAAGTATTATGGCATGCCCTTCTAAAACCAGAGTATAAGTGATAATTATACCCGATGTTGGTTAAAACAAATATGACAAAAGAGTATAATCATTTCATTATATATAATGCTCTAAAACAGTAACAAAACGTTTTACTTCAATCCCTTTCCTAAAATATATAATAGGGCACTCAATTATCACCATGATGAACAATTTGCCAAAACAAACATGGTGCAAAAAAGTAGGAAATAGATTAAACAGTATAACATTGCAGAATTCATAGTAAACTTCACTAGAAATGGGAGGTACAGTACTTGTATTGTTCCTTCCATTTGATGATAAATATTCCAACTTTGCTTTAGGTCTCACCTTTCCAACTTCCTGTTACCAAGAATCGTCCATTACACGATCAAGTCATTTGACAGTAGCTCATATGCTGTTTGCCTCCTCCACAATTCCATATGGCTCTGTAAAAATCAAATAATGATGATGAAATACTTATCAGCAGTACTGGTCTATATTAAGGAACTGCCATTAAGCTTACCTCTTCAAAATCCATTGCTAAATTCATCAATATACTTCTGGCAAACTAAAGAAAGATACAAAATTGTTCTGTAAGCAAAAAAAACGACTCCAAAGCAGTTCTGCAGAGTATATTGCAATTGATTAATAGTTAATATTGATAACGTGTATCAAATCAAAATTATTTACCATGCAATGAAAAACCCCGCAATCACTATTGTTGCTTTGCTTTGGAATTTCCTAAAGGAAATAAATATCGGCAGGTTTTGATAGACATTCAGTGTTCGCGTTCTGTTCGGGAAATTTTCGCGAAAAAGGTACATGTGATTCTAGGCGGTACTGTATGGTTATTTCTTTGATTTGCTTTTATGCTTTGTTTTGTTCTTATATATTGTTGGAATAGAAATGAACAACTTTTAAGGTTTTGGAATGACTTTTTAGAGTGTAAAACACAAAGTTCTTATTAAAGGGCAACTGACATGTGAAAATGAACCATTTTGGAAAAAATCTCCATTAATTGGAGAAAAATATAGTTTTTACGTCTTGGAAACAAATCCTGATTTTTTTATAGATTTTTCCAATATATTTTGTGACCGCTTTGACCGTGGGCTCATAAAAAAGGCCGTGTGATGTCACAACGTCAAAAGGTGAAAGGTTGTTTACACTCCGACGTTTCTAAAGTTCTACTGTATATTACTTATATAATAAGCCAATCTTCGATATACGTTGTATGTCGGATAGCAGTTCGTGTTCAGAATATTCTGACTGCTCCGAGGAATCATTTTTTAAAAATTTTCATGGGGATTTCGATCAAAACACAGACATCACAGGAAAAAAATTGCAACTCCCAATACTGGGAAATACATGGGATCTAATAGGGATATTTTTGGGTTTTCATTGTGAATTCCCAATATTGGAAAAGTGCTACCAAAACCAATCTGTAGTCAAAATATTCCCAAGAAAATTCCGAAAGTTGGGATATTAATGTCCCAATATCAAATCAAATAGGTATTTTTTGTGGCTCATTAGTTCCCAATCAAATCCCATATTTGGGATATTACTGTCCCAATTTCAAATCAAATTGGTATTTTATGTGGCTCATTAATTCCCAATCAAATCCCATATTTGGGAT